CCAACACCTAAACATTCTACCTAGTGTACAACGGAGGGTACATCCAAAGCCCTCTTGTGCGATCACCCAGGCGACCCGTTTGACGTTGGGGGTTGTCGCCAATCCCCCACAGAAGACCTCCGGGGTTACTTGACTCGCAAGCATACCATACATGAGGAGAATCCTCAGTGCCACTGTAAAAGACTTATCCAAATAGTACTCGCCGATTGCCAATGTATAGGAACGGCAAAACCTTCGGTGTTCGAGAGGCTTTCTCGACAGCCTTCTCAACCGAGACCCTCTCGTCGAAGGCGCCGTCACCAAAAAGGACGCGTCGCCGACGAGAGAGAGCTCCCATCCGCTACAATCAACATGACGGACAAGGGCAAGGCCATCCTTTCCAGTTCTCAGGATTCGGATCCCTTCCTGGGACCTAATCCTTTGCTGGCCCAACGTGAACGAGATGGTATATACCGGCACACTCGTAGTCGTACGGGGGTGAGCATTGGGTTTGATTATTCAACCTTAGCGCTTCCCTCCGACGGTGAAGACGAGATTTACTCGGCAGCAGCTACGTCCCAGACATCACACTCGAGCCAGGACGCGCTGGCAAGGGTACACATGACTGAACCCACCCATGAACAGACAGTGGCCTAAAGGTTCGAAGAACAACAAGCGACTATAGACTCCTTAAGATAAATGATGGAGCAGCTTTTGAATAAGAAGAAGAAGAAGAAAAGAACCCAGTACACCTTACCCCAGCGAACAGGGGATAAGGAGTGGGTACCTCCCTATCGTCCAGCGACCGAAACAGAAGATAATATCGATCCACCATCCGATTTCTCTTCCAAGACATCGCTAGGAACGTCGCATAGTAGGGGTAGCGCCCACGACAAGAAGTTCGACGAGTTCCAAAATTAGCTCAACGTGCTGAAGCTTCAGCAGAACATGAACAAGCTGGGGGTGGTCCGACCCTATCCTGTCGAGTGGGATACAGTCCCTTACCCAGCGAAGTTCAAACCAATTAGCTTGGTGTAATTTGACGGCAAGGGATCGTCCTCGCAACACATTTATTACTTCATGGCGCAGACCAGATTCCTTACGGGGAACGACGCTATTATCACTCGGCTATTCATAGGCACCCTTAAGGGGGTTGCTTTTGAATGGTTCTGCAAGTTAGAACCCGGCTCTATCAAGTCATGGGCCGATGCTGAAAGGCTCTTCTTGGCCCGCTTCTTCCACGACGACACAGAGGTGTCGATGGCCACCCTCCTCGCCGAAAAGCAGCGAAAGTCGGAGTCGATCAACGACTTTGTGAAAAGGTTCAGGAACCGATTGGTCCACTATCAGGACCAAGTTTTTGAATCCACACTGATCGAGATGTGCCGCAACAATATCTCAATCCATATTTTATCCAAGGTTGGCGCGGTGGAAACCCGGACATGGAAAGAACTTGTTCGTCACGGCGATCAGGTGGAAAACATGATCAAGAGGTTGGAGGCCGAAGAGTCGCAGCCTAATAAGGGAGCTATGGAACCAGCCATTCCGAAGAATCCCCCTCGAATAATAGGAAAAGAAATCATGGCCGTCGATTCCACCCCGGCGCCGAAAACTGCTCAAAGGTCGAAGCCCAGACAATTTGAGCAACGCCCCCCGCGATAATACGACTTTAAAGAAGATCAGGTGGTTGCGACATTCGATACTCTACTCAAGAGTGGTTGAATTAAATTGTCAGAAGCCACGAAGCCTGAGGAGGCGAACAAAACCGATGACCCGAGTTATTGTGCTTATCACAGATTCCTTGGCCACCACACGTCTAAGTGTTACGTCCTCAAGGACAAGCTCCAAGCCCTCTACGACGCGGGAGTCCTGAAGAAGGAGAAGGTTCAAAAGTAGGTGACCACTAACATGATCACCTTGAGCTTTGGGACAGGTCTCCCAGAGGTCCAGGCTCCGGCAGGGGTAATTCCTATCCCCAAGGCAGTCTTAAAAATCACTAATGATGACCCTTACAACCAGCGAGGGAAAGGTTTAGCTCCCCAGACTCTGCCATCGGGTTAGGTGATGTGGGTCCATATGGACCTCCTCAATGATGAGCAATGGACTGCAAAGCCCTCAAAAGAGGTTAAAGGAAAACCTTGCAATGTCGTCTCCGCCATCCTGGGTGGAGATAAGATAGCAATGGCCGCCCCCACTGACTCTGAGGAGGAAACCACTATCCTCACCACGAGAGCAGGGAAGGAATTCGCAAAGGAATACCCTACGAGGGCGGAAGACCTGGCAGGACCTCCTACGAGGCTAGCCGCGGCAACCCCTCCAGAGCCATACAGGCCGAGCGTAAGCCGTCAACCTTTCCGATTTAATGTACTTGCGTACCTGAGGAGCATCCCCGTGCGAATTACCATGTACGACCTCTTACGACTCTCCAGGCCTACCCGGGAAGCCCTACAAGAGGCATTGGCCGACTCGGAAGCCTTCTCCACCCACTTCTCGAGGGAAGAGGACACAGAGCACGAATGTGCGACGTGTTGCCAAACCTCCGAGAGGCGGTCCCGTGCATCACTTTCACTCCTGAGGACATGCTCATCAAGAGCATGTCTCATGATCGACCCTTGTATTTCACGGGGTACGTCGGTTCGTCAAAAGTGTATCGAATTCAGGTCGACCCAGGGTCTGCATTGAGCATCGTACCCCTGAAATTGATTAAACACCTGGGGATACCTCCAAAGCATCTATCCACGACTACCATGACTATCTTTGGCTTTAATGCCACGGGGACTCGGCCACTCGGCAAAATCCGCCTGAAATGTCGAATAGGTGACATGAAGACGGAAGTGACCTGCTACGTCGTCGATGCCTAACCATCCTACAACATGCTCTTAGGATGTCCATGGATCCATGGCAACCGAATAGTCCTGTCCACGTTACACCAATGCTTAAAGTATGTGGATGATTACGAGCGAGTGAAAACAGTAGTGGCCGACAAACAACCCTTCAAGGGCCTCGAAAACTACTTCACAGACTCTTTGCTGTACCAAGACCACGACGAACCACCGGTTAAGGAACTGGAGAGCGGCAACGAGGAAGATAGCGAGCCCGAGTACGGTGACAGCCTAGTCTTGAACGAATTCGAATCAATTGTAATTGGTTACGAAAGTCACAATGTAACCAATGCTGTTCAGGCAGAGGAAATTGTCATGAATGAGAAGTTTAACTTTGCTTATTTTTCGTCTTACTCCACATCCGAGGATGATGCACCCAATAACCTATTGTCAAAACTCTACAGCGATCCCTCCCTGCACTTGCCCATATGCTCGTCATACGTCGCAAAGGCACAGCCGATCAAGTCATCACGAGCTGTACTCGTCGTGCCAGCCCGGAATAATTATCGAAAAGATATTATCTTCGGTCGAATCGATCACTCCTTACGCACACTATGGGATGAATCTGAAGATGAGGACCCCGCACCTCAGTTTTCGTAATACAGTCAAGTCGTAAAACGCATGATGAGTGACATGGGGTATGACCTCACTCTCTTAGAGGGCCTAAATTACGGCCGAAGATGCAAGACAGTCATTCGGCCTGCTTACGTACTGAAAGGCAAACCCTCAAATTACTTCAACAGGACTCGGAGAAGCTTAGGCTACTCCTCTTTCTCATCAGATTTGTGCTGCTATGTCAACGAAGACTCCGACTATGCATGTTTCGGGGATCAATCTTCGGCGACCTTGGCATGGGACTCGGACGTCAGCATAAGGGATTTGCTCGACAACCTTACGGTCAACATGGCTACGATTGATCCCGCCGAAATAGAGGAGGATGGATGGGTCCCACTCTATGACGAGACATGGGATCGCTACGTCAACGCTCAGTGGAATAGTCGCTTCGAGCAACGCGAATCGCCGACCGAGGATGAGATCCTCTAGGTGAACATGGGCGACGAGGTGAACCCCATGCCCATATTCATCAGCGGTAGTCTGCCTCCTCAAGAGAAAGAAGATCTCATTGCCCTCATATGAGAATACATTAACGTCTTCGCGTGAAACTACGAAGATATGCCCGGCCTCGATCCACAGGTCGCCATGCATCACCTCAATATCGGCTTGAATACGAAACCAGTCAAACAACAGCAGAGGTGGTTTCGCCCTTAAATCATGGAGGTGATCGAGGCCGAAGTGAAGAAACTGATCGAATCCGGCTTCATCAGAGAGGAACAGCACCCTGACTGGGTAGCCAATATAGTTTCCGTCTTGAAGAAAAATGGTAAGATTCGAATCTGCATTGACTTCATAGACCTCAACGCTGTGTGCCCTAAGGACGAATTTCCTTTACCCATCACGGATGTCATCATCGATAACACATGTGGATTTGTGAGGATGTCCTTCATGGATGGTTTCTCAGGGTACAATCAAATCAAAATGCACCCCAAGGATGAAAAACACACTTCATTCAGGACTCCCATGGGGGTATACTGCTACACGGTCATGCCTTTCAGACTCAAAAATGCCGGCGCAACCTATCAGCACTCCATGAGCATGATCTTTCGAGATTACCTACGAAAGACGGTCGAGTGCTATGTGGATGACCTGGTCGTAAAGAGTCACCGTAAAGACGACCACCTTCAAGACTTGAGGGTGATGTTCGAACTCATGAGGACTCATCAACTCAAGATGAATCCTACAAGACCACCTTCAAGACTTGAGGGTGATGTTCGAACTCATGAGGACTCATCAACTCAAGATGAATCCTACAAAGTCATTCTGGTGATGTTCGAACTCATGAGGACTCATCAACTCAAGATGAATCCTACAAAGTCATTCTTAGGGATGTCTAGTGGTAAATTCCTTAGTTTTGTCGTCACAACGAAAGGAATCCGGATTGACCCAGACAAGGTACGAGCTATTCAAGAGCTTTAGCCGCCCCGAAACCTCAAAGAACTAAGGGGCCTTCAGGGACGATTGGCCTACATCCGAAGGTTCATTTCAAATCTTTCGGGCAAATGTCAACCCTTCTCCAAGCTAATGAAGAAAGGTACCTCCTTCGTATGGGACGAGCCTTGTCAACGGGCCTTTGAAGAGATCAAAGCTTATCTCTCAAACCCGCCTGTCCTTACGGCTCCGATATCAGGAAAACCATTCCTCATCAACATCAGGGCTATGGAGCATTCTCTAGGCGCCTTCTTGGCACAAAATGACGATGTTGGCCACGAGCAGGGCATCTACTACCTAAGCAGAACCCTACAAGGCGCAGAACAACGGTTCCCAATGGTCGAAAAGGAGTGTTTGGCCTTAGTATTCGCCATCCAAAAGATGCGACACTACTTGGTTGGCCAGACCATCCACGTCATTTCCCGAATAAACCCCATCCGAGTTTTCATGACACAGCCTGCGGCCTTAAACTGGCGTTTGGCCAGGTGGGCACTCCTATTGTCTCAGTATGACATTCACTTCATGCCACAGAAGTCAGTCAAAGGACAGGCTATCTGTGACCTTATGTCTAGTCATCCGCTAGGGGCAAAGACTGACCTATTCGAAGATTTGCCAGATGAGCCCCCTGAGGTCAACACGACTTCGTCACCAGAGGTTTGGCAAATGTTCTACGATGGTGCGTCTCGCGTAGGCACGAGCGGCTCTATTGTTGCAGGAGTGGGGGTGGTCCTCACTTCTCCACATAACCACGTGTTGCCCCGAGCCTTTTCTTTAATAGAGCCATGCACCAACAACGTGGCTGAGTACAATGCGCTACTCATCGGGCTCGAGTTAGCAAAAGAGTTAGGGATAAACTGTCTTGAGGCTTATGGCAACTCTCAACTCATCGTCAAGCAGATGACCGGCGAGTACGAAGTTAGAAACGATAATTTGATCCCGCTCCACAAAGCAGCTATCAAGCTAGTGGAGTCATTCGAGAGTTTCCGCATCGAGCACGTGCTCCATTCTAGGAACACGCATGCGGACGCCCTCGCATCCTTGGCGGCTAAACTGGCCTAGCCATTAGGGACAACCCAATGGGTCACTGTGGCAAGCCGAAGACTCTTTCGACTAAAAGATGTCCCAGAAGCGAATGCCAGCCATCAAGTTTCGGAGCAGACCTGAAAGACTGGCGTCTCCCGATCATCGATTACGTCCTATATGGCATGTTGCCCGAGGACGCGAGGGAGCGAGAGTCTGTCTGGCGACGTAACGTGAGGTTCTACTACGATTCGACCACCAAAACGTTGTATCGGAGGTCGTACGATAGCTTGTTACTTTAATGTCTTTTGAAGATAGAAGCACAAGAAGCTCTGCGCGAAGCCCATCACGGCGTTTGCAGGGCTCACCAGCCCGGACCCAAACTTTAGGATCGTTTGTGAAGGATAGGTTACTTTTGGCCTGGGATGGTTAGCGATGTGGTCGCTTACGCAAAGCGTTGCCACGCGTGCCAAATCCACACCAACTACATGCATCAACCTCCCAAAGACCTGCACCCGACAAAGGCGTCATGGCCTTTCGAGGCATGGGGGATGGATATAATCGGACCAATATCCCCATCGTCGGCAAGAGGCCATCGCTTCATCCTCGCGATCACCGACTACTTCTCTAAGTGGGCCGAAGCCGTCCCCTTAAGAGAGGTCAAGACCAATGACGTGATCAAGTTCATCAAACATCATGTCATATACCAATACAGTGTACCTCGACTTATCATCCATGATAACGGCACACAATTCGTTAGTCATGGATTCACCAGGTTTTGTGATAGGTTCCGAATACAGAACCTTTCCTCCACGGCCTATAACCCTTCGGCGAACGGCTTGGCCGAGGCCTTCAACAAAACAATTATTAAGATCTTGACCAAGCTAACTTCTAATAGCAAATGCGATTGGAACGAGAAGCTGGGTGAGAGCTTATGGGCATATCGCACAACGGTTCACACACCGACTGGCAACACGCCCTACTCATTAGTATACGGTTGTGAGGCCGTGTTACCATTAGAGATTCAAATTCCATCCCTCCGCGTTACCATGGCAACAGGGGTGACGGCTGAGAATAATCACCAACGACGCCTCGCAGAGCTCGAAGCATTGGATGACAAATGACTGGAAGCTCAACAACACATTGAGTTCTATCAAGCTCGAATGGCCAAGGCTTTTGACAAGAAGGTCAAGCGTCGATCCTTCAAAGAAGGAGAACTGGTACTAGCCGCTCGACGACTAATGATTTTTACTTCCAAGAAGAAGGGTAAGTTCCAGTCCAAATGGGAAGGACCGTTCGTGGTGGAGACAGTCTACTCGAATGAAGCCTATCGCCTCGTCAAACCGAATGGCGATAAGATCATGATGCCCGTCAACGGAAAATACTTGAAGAAGTACTACCCCTAGTTCTTCTTCAAAACTCCCACGAGTGTATGAGTCTAAACTGGTTCTCACCACCCTCCAACTGGTACACGAGACTAAACTGTTCCTATTTCATATACTCCAACAGGAAACCCTATATGAGACGCTACTAACGGTGTTCTTAGGCGTGACCTAGATCGCTGGTTGGTCCAACTTTCTTATAGTCAGGACCAGGATAATTCTGTCATGTTAATTATCACCTCTGGCAAAATCAACTTACTAGTCCTCTTCAATAGGATAGTAGGTCCACAGAGTTGCTCAAATCGTAACAAAACTCCTTCTGTCATGTTAACACCAAACCTCTAACAAAATCAACTTACCAATCCTCTCCAATAGGATGGTGAGCCCACTAAAGTCGCTCACATCGTGACAGACAATTCTGTTATGTTAACTGTCACCTCTAACAAAATCAACTTATCAATCCCTTCCAATGGGATGATAAGACAATTCTGTTATGTTAACTGTCACCTCTAACAAAATCAACTTATCAATCCCTTCCAATGGGATGATAAGTCCTCATAGTTGCTCCAATCGAACAAAATCAACTTATCAATCCCTTCCAATGGGATGATAAGTCCTCATAGTTGCTCCAATCGTAACAAAGCTCCATCAGGTTAATGATCACCTCTGATGATCGGCGCTGTTATTCCTATGAGTAACATAGCCTAAGTAATAACCTACCACGCGACGTGTTATTACTTCGGTCAATAGTCACACTCTTACGTCCCCGAACTACTTGACCTATTCCGGATATCCTAACATTCTCTTAGGATAACCGATGGGTAGTAGCCTACCACGCGACGACCCCTACAACAATCGATTGTTATATTCCTATATCCCTGAACGATTCGATTATCATCTATGTTGTCGCCCGCCTACACGGTGATGATTATCAAGGGCGGCTCGACAGGCGACATACCCCACTATTCTCCCAAACAACAACTCGCTAAATGGCAAGTCAAAGTTGGGTTCTTTAGTTGGTCGCATGCACGAGCAACTGCTCTTTGTTTTGAGCTAAGTGTTACCCTCTCGGTTCCACTTGAGCTGCAACGCGGAAGTCAGAGTTAACCCGACCACACGCCAAGAATAGCCGAGGGCAAAAAAAGAGCCTAACGACTAAGTCTAAGATAGATTAGTCGAAGGCTCGCCATATTACTAGAGATGGCATGAATAGCTCAACTCAAGCGCCAAACAGCGCAGGCAAATCCAACATGAAGATAAGACACAGATCAAACACATATCAACACCAGAAAATAAAGAAAAAGAAAAACTGTGTATGCAAAGCGGAGGATAAATAAAAACAAAAGGCCATTACGGGCCAAAATTACATACATAAAGTTTTGTTGGAGTTGTGATGTTGCCGGCATCAACAAAGTTACAAAAGAAAAAGAACAAAAAAAAGGAGAATGCTTAAACCAAATAGGCGTTAGATGAGCTTCAGCAGGCTGAAGGCAGCAATCTTGGCCTTAACCGCTGCAAGATCCGCCGCGCGCCTAGCCTTCGCCTTCTCTTCCTGCCTTTGTCGAAGTCTGGCGAAAGTAGCCTCGCCTGTCTCCTCTTCCTGGCAAAGGAGCTGGAGCGCCCTCTCTTCTGCCTCGAGGGCTTAGTACGCCTGGCTTTAGCCGCGCCTCGTCTTTGAGAGAGCCGGCGTCCAAGAAGAAGCTGTCGTCCATGTAAGCGTCCATCTTCGCCAGTATGGCTTGATGTCACCTGCGCAGATGCTCGAGCAGGGCCTCCTGCCTCAGGATTTGTTTCCCCAAGTCCTCGCGCTCGAACAGAGCGCTCATGACAAGAGGCGCGGGTTCAGGGTCGGCCTGCACCAACTCCTCTAGGTGGTACATCAACTCCTCCAAACGGTAGAGCTCTCGCTCACACCGCCGAGCGAGTTGAACACCGCCTACGTGGCGGATCTCATCCAAACTCTCCTCCACGAAGGAGAGCATGTCGTAGTACCACCTAGCACCTTCGCTTACGATGGTGGTAGTCCTACTGATGGCATCCTCCAGTCTTCGAAGGAGGACAAACACCGGATTAGGAACAGAGGTCGGTTCCCTTGAGCCGGACCAGCGGCCTGATACGGCGTCGCTCCAGCACCGACGACGGAGGAAGAAGAGCCAACACTCTCGGAGGCCATGGGGTAGAGCATGTTCTATAGTTTTGTCTTTACTCTTAAGATGAGGGTTCGTAGACGTGAGGGTTTAGCCAAGAGGACGGCGAGTGCATCATATATAGGCCGAAGTCCCAACGGCCTGAGGATTCGTGTGCGCCAAGCAAGTCGGACGCGGTTCAGACCGATCGGATTGAGTGCGAGAGGCGAAGCGTTCCGTCACTTCGCCATTAATGAGAATAACACGCCCACAACGCCTTAGCTGGCAAGCATTTGGTCCCACAAGCGACGCGTGGCATGAGTTTGCCTGCGTTTAAATCTTCACTTGTAAAACAAACTCACCATCAAGTGAGTTTCACTTGCAGCGTGAACTCGCCAGCATTCGAGTTTAGCTTTCAACGCAAACTCACCGTCACGTGAGTTTCGATTGCAACGTGAACTCGCCAATATTTGAGTTTAGCTTTAGACGCAAACTCGCCATCACTCGAGGAGCTTCACCTACGGCATGAAATCACCACTGGCTATATGAGAAAGACATTGAAGGGTGATATATGAAAAACGAGGAAGTACGAACTTCATTGGATACTTCCAGACAGTACATTTGAACAAAGTTATGACTTTACAACCAAGAGAGTCATAACATTACATTCAAGAAGCAAAACATGAAACATAACACCTAGAATCTGCTCCTATCCTATAGGCTTATTCTAGGAATTTGAAGGATGCAAGTTTAGCCCTGACTTCGGCTATATGCTCTGCACGCATGGCGCGAGCTTTTTCCTCTGCCTCTTGCCGAACCCACGCTTCAAAGGAAGCGTTAGCAGTGGCATCCTCCTGAAGCAGCAGTGGAAGAGTACGCCTCTCTCTGGCAAGATCACCTTCCATCGTCTAGCTCTAGATGCGCAGGCTTGTCAAGGTTGATTCCCCTTCTGCACGTAGGATCGTACCCAAAAAGATGGAAGAAATGACAGACTCCATATCAAATTGCAATAAGCGGCACTGAAAATCCATATGGGCAATAAGGGATTCCTTGTCTTCTATGTCTCGCCTTCGACACTCTTGTTGCCACGAAGCATAGCGACGGACTGGAACCATGAATAGCTTCACTTCAGAATCCAAATCCGCATGTCGCAAGCCCTCCAGTCTTGTCAGAAGCAACTCTAAGTCGATGAGCTTCATTTGGCATCTTACCCTAAGCATCAAGTCGCCCTGACAATCGAGGCGGTCCACACGGTCCGAGAGGGACTGCTTCAGCTCCGTGAAGTAACCACAAGCCTGCTCAACGAGCGAGATCACTTGGTTCTCAGCATTCTCTAACTCCTCTAACTGAGCCAGAATGGAGCCTTAGGGTTTAGACTCCGGATCGCGATCAGGCGCGGGAGCCGAAGGAGAAGCATCAGCCCGTATCTTCCTTGCACTAGACGCCTTCGCTCGCGGTGCCATCCTGAACAAGAAGAAAACAATCAACACGGTGCCCCCTCCGACAAGAAAAAAGGGCAATGTGTGATGTA